GATAGTCCAGACCTTATTCAATGTACCAGATGCCACCCTGCTAAAAGTGTAAATTTGATGGGCTTTACAAACTTATAATATTGGAGAAACCAATGTCAGGACAAATGTTCTCAATGTTTCCAGTTAAAAAATAAAAAGAAACAATTTGGTAACTGAAAAGAGAACATAACCTTGAAAATGATTGTGAAAAAAGCTACAAGTCCTCTACCCCCACGGAAGTAATGCTTTCCAGCTCTGCCCACGTCACACTGTGTGTACCAGGGAAGGAGTCCCTGCCATCGCAGGCGTCAGCCAACCGCGGCCCAGGAGACAAACCCAGCCTGTGCTGTTTTTGTACAACCTGTGAGCTAAGAATGGTTTTTTACATTTTTCAGAGGCTGAAAAGCAAACAAAGAACGTTTTGTGACATTTGAAAAGCATACGAAATTGCCATTCCAGGGGCGCCTGGGTGACTCAGTCGGTTAAGCGTCTGCCTTCGGCTCAGGTCGTGGTCCCAGGATCCTGGGATCGAGCCCCGCATCGGGCTCCCCGCTCTGCAGGGAATCTGCTTCTCCCTCTGCCTCTGCCACCACCCCCCACTGCTTGTGCTCTTTCTAATAATAAAATCTTAAGAAAAGGAAAGAAAAAAGAAATTCCTATTCCTGCGCCCACAAATAAAATTTTATTGGAACACAGCCAGACATCCCTTCACTTGCATATCATATACGGCTGCTTTTGTGCCAAAATGGTGGAGCTGACCTAGTCCAAGAGATCTGGTGGTCCACCAGGTCTAAAAATGTGACACCTGGCTCTTTTTGGAAAAGGTCTGCATACCCATGTATTTATTATATGCGAAGCACGTTAGAAATAGTAGCAAATGCTATCATTAAATTTATAGATGAGAAAACTAAACACACACAGAGTTTAAGCCACTGTTACAAAGCACAAGCTGAGTGAATCATGATGCGGAAATTCAAACCTGAGTCCACTTGTTCCCAAAGTTGTAACCCCAGAGCTCAGACGATGCTACACCATGCGTTTTACGATTCATACTACATCATCTTCCTTTCTCCGGGTCAGACCACAAGTGCTGATGTGTCATGATTTATGAAACCATTCCTTCACCGTCAGAACCAGTCCCTGGTTTCTTGCACATACCAATGAAGCCAAAAATAAAATTTTACAGATGTACGGGGCTTGCTTAAGAAGCAGCAGTAAGATTAAAAATAATGGGGCGCCCGGGTGGCTCAGTCGGTTAAGCGTCTGCCTCGGGCTCAGGTCATGGTCCCAGGGTCCTGGGATCGAGCCCCGCATCGGGCTCCCTGCTCTGCGGGGAGCCTGCTTCTCCCTCTCCCACTCCCCCTGCTTGTGTTCCCTCTCTCGCTGTGTCTCTCTGTCAAATAAAAATAATGAAGCAGGTTTTGAATACCGTTAAAAGGCTCTAGGTTTTCCTGGGCTTCTTTGCAGCTAACTCGGAATAGGTCAATGACACTGAATTTCACTGGGTCTCAGACATCATAGGCAGCACGAAAAGGACAAGAGAAACCTGGGGTGCGGGGCGGGGGGCGCGGGGGGATGCCACCCAGCGTTCCTCCTGTGGCTGCGGAGGCTTTTCTTTCTGAGCCCAGAGAGCAAGTGTGGCCCATGACTTCCTGTCACATTCAAACACTACATGGCCCTTAGCCTGCCTAAGCAGGGCACAAAGGGGGAAGGAAGGTTTTCCCCTCGTTCTGGGTCTCACCTCAGCCCAGTTACTGATAAACGTAGTTTGCTCACAGGCTCAGGCCATTTCTCTGAAGCACTTACTTAATCCCTTGTTACACTCACTTCCAAGAGGGAGATTTCACGGAGGTAAGGAGCGAAGCGAAGACACAACCAGAGGTTGGAGGGATGTGGCCTCAAGCGAAGGGACGAGGCAGCCTCCAGAAGCTGCAGAGGTGGGAAGGATCCTCCCCTGGACCCTCCAGACACGCCTGGCTCTGCCACACCTCGATTTTTGACCTCTGGCCTCCAGAACGGTGAGAGACATTTCTGTCGTTCTAAGCCCCCCGGTTTAGTCATTTATAAAAGCAGCAACAGAAACGGAACACAGCCCTCCGCCATTCCTTCTCTGCTCATCAGTTTTCTCTGACAATAAGCCACACAATTTCTGCCCTCAGGCCTCCCTCTGCTGCTATCTCTGCGGCCTCTCAACCCCTTGTCCACCTCCCTGCTTCTGTGTTGTTGACAATGAACGTCTTATCTCGTCCATCAGCAGTTAAGTCTGGAACTGTCTGATGGGGGTTAAACACTAAAAACAGCTACCAGGTTGCTTCCAAGAAACACACTTAGAACAAAGTGATTCAGAAAGAGCGAAAGGAAAGAGAGAGACAGGTGCTCAAAACGGCCGGAACGGAATACCCGCCCAAGTGTGCTGACAAGAGGAAGCAGGACACAGAGCTAGTGAGAAGCCACGGCCCCACAGAGCAGGTACACCCGCGGGAGAAGGCCTCTGTACAGCGGCAGGGGGCACTGCTGGCGGGAGGCAGGTCCGCACGGAGGGCCAGGGCCAAGCAGGGCTAGTTTCCCTGCACCACGAAGACTTCATTAGGAATGAACACGAGCAAACAAAGTTTGAAAATACCACCTCGGAAACAGAGGTAACTGCAGACTGGATACTTGCAAACAAAAACCGTACGAGTCTCGCCACTGGTTATCAGTTGAGGAGAAGTTAGGGCTCCCCTCCCTAGGCCACCGGGCCTGGGACAGGGACCATATAACAGTAAAAGGATATTCACTTACTCAAGAAGATATAATCCACTGCCTACCTGAGCACCAAATGCAAAAGTTACTAGAAGTGAAAGGAGAACCTGATGGCAAATGACAGAATACAGAATTCGCTGAGCCTCTTGCTACACGGAAGAGAAAAGAGCACAATCATCATTGGCTTCTTTAGGACACAGACAAAAATGAAGATGTTCCACAATCCTATGACACAAGCGGGACAACAGACTGTGCTGACGGGACAAAAATAAATGGAAATTTTGGAGCTAAAAACGCACAGAAAACTTTCCAATCAAGTTAGAATAAAAAATGCTCCATAAATAACAAGGGGGAGGTCATATGCTTCACAGCAGTCTATGTGACCTAAGGTTTGGGCTGCCCTTAGCTAAATCACCAAGTGATACATACACACAGTCACAGAGTCACACACACTCACACGCACGCCCACCCAATCAGTGCTCTCACGCAAGGGGTGGCCAACTGGCCTATAGACCAAATCCAGCCAGCCACTTGTTTTTGTACTGCTTGTGGGCTAATAATGGTTTTTCCATGAAAGCTGGGGGAAGAAATCAATCAAAAGAAGAACACTCCACGGCATGTGACAATTATATGAAATTCACATTTCACTGTCCATACATAAAAGTCTCATGGGCATACAGTCACACCAGTCATTTACGTATCGTCCGTGTCTTTGAGATACACCAGACTCAGAGACCATACACCCCTTTACAGAAAAGTTTGCCGACCCCTTCTAATCTATGCAGGGTAAATCATAACTCAGTTGCAGAGTGGAGTTCTGGAGATCAAATTTCTAGTGAGAAATTAACTGACAGCTGTGTTCAGCATGGGGTCTGGAACCACACTTGAAGAGGCATTAAAATTTAGGGGGGCCTTGGTACAGGAATTCAAATTTATAAAGGGATTTTTTTCATATAGGAGGGAATCTTGTGTGCTGTTTGGAAATGTGTGTTGTCTCAGAAAATGAACTAGGGAGATAAACAGAGGTGTATCGGGGGAACGTCTGTCCTGATTGGTCATGTCACAGAACAGCCATGTGTCTTGTCAGCTGAAGGATTCACGGAGAACCCGATGAACATCTATCTATCCATAAGACCTAAAGCAGATAACAGCTTAAGAGCTGATGCCTACTGTGGTTTGAGTGATATCCCCCCAAAACTCATCCACCCAGAACCTTGGAATGTGACCTCATTTAAAAAGAAGGTGTTTGCAGATAGAACTAGGGTAAAGATCAAAGTGAGATCACTCTGGATTAGGATGGGTCCTAATCCAATGACTGTCCCTTTTAAAAAGAGGGAAGCACACACACAGCCAAAGAGAAGGCAGCCATGTGAAGAAAGAGGCAGGGATGGGAGCGATGCCACCAGAAGCCAAGGAATGCCAGGAGCCACCAGAAACCAGAAGAGGCAAAGAAGGCTTCCTCTCCAGAGTCTTCACAAGGAGCGCGACCCTTGTTTTCTGATGCCCGGCCCCCCACTTGTGACAGAACACGTTTCAGTTGTTTTCAGCCACCCCGTTTGCGGTGATTTGTTACGGCAGCCCTGGCGAACGAATACAATCCCCTCCCAAGTTCCCCTCAAATTCCAACTTCTCTGAGCTTTCTCAAAGGCAAGGACTATTTTAATTTCTTCTAGAAACTTACACAGCCTCATATAGTGCTAGTGTGGCTCAAAGCAAAAGTCAACAATATTAACTTTGTTCTTCTGCAAAGGTTAAAAAGAGGTAATGGTGTATTTTTTAAATTAAACTGTTTACCTTGAGAGACCCACAGATTCATATGCAGTTGTAAGAAACAATTCAGAGATCCGGCTGTGCCCTTTACCCAGTTTCTCCTCGTGGTGACATTTGCAAAACTAGAGTATGGACTCACAACCAAAGTGCGGGCATCGATCCAGTCCAGTGATCGGATTCCACTTCCCCAGTCTGACGTACTCCCTGGGGGGCGCGGGGGGGAGGGGCGGGTGTGGGTGCCTTTCACTCTATCCATCACCATAAAGATACACAATGTCATCACCAGGGCTATATGCTATCCTAATGCCTACAAACATATGCCTTGTCTGTTTCTATAAATACGAACATGACGGCGGGTTCAAAGGCAAACCTTTGAAAAGCCAAGATGACAAGGCTTCTTTCCTCGATCATTAAAATAGGCCGCACACACTTTCCAGATACCCTGAGGGAACACGCGAGGGGGGAGAAAACCGCAGAGCAGTTCTGCCAACAGGACCCGAGTCTCATACCTTGTCCTTTTTATCCTGTCGCGCGTACGGAAAACACGGGATCACGGCGGTCACCCTGGATGACGAGGCGATCTTGCAGGCATTGATCATGATGAGGAGCTCCATCAGGTTGTCGTTGATTTCCCCACAGCCACTCTGGATGATGTAGACATCTTCGCCCCTCACGCTTTCACCGATCTCAACACTACGAAAAGACAAGGGCCATCCGCTGACGGTACGTCTGCGTCCTGGAGGCCCCCTGGAGCCCCACGGGGGGGTGGTGGTGGTGAGGATTCACCATACAGCGGTGCTTGGGGCTATGACTTACCACGAGCAAAACGGGCGAAGGGAAGAGGTGCGAGGAGCAACCTCTGTGGGCGACCAGGTGCAAGCTTCCAAGAGTCACCCTGCGGTCGAGTGGCACGGGTTGGGCTTCATTCCCCAGCCACGCGCCGTGACAGTATGTCCTAAGTGCTGTCCACAAGGGAAGCTCACTGGTGCCCAGGCTCTTACTGGCGGCCTGGTCGCCTGGGCTCCATCTGCCTGGCACAGACCAAAATCCCAGACCTCCAGGGGTTCCCCCTTAACCACACTGTACGGTTAGGTAGAGCGAGCCTTTCAAACACAAGGTTCCCAAAGGCCAGCTGAGGACTACCTCGCAAGCTGAACTTTTTCGTATAGGAGGGGATCTTATATGCTCCTCAGAAATGTCTCAGTCCCGCTATATTAACTTCTTTCTGCTAAACAGCACACTGAGTTTTACTTTTATTAAAGTTACATATACACACTGCTTAAAAAATTCTAGTCAGTCTGTAAACCTTGTAACAAACATTTCAGAGGCAACCAATTGCAACTTTTGCTATGGTTCTCAGGTATTTATCTTCAAGTCTCCAATTGGTACGTTTCTATTGCTTCTTCTTGAGTTTTCATTTTAGGCATCAAGTGTCGACCTCTTGCTATGAAGACAGGACATAACGACCCCCACACCACGCCCCCCAGCGCCCGCACCCCCTGCAGCCTTCTGGTCTCCCACCATCCCAACATAGATCTTCTAACCAAACAGGACGGCCACTTTTAACTGTACGTTCTATTCAGAGCTGAGCCATAAAGCAAACTTAAATCCAAGATTAGATTTCCCTCTTACACGTAACTTTTGGTGATTGGTTTTCCCCGGAGTATATTATCCTACCTTTTCACCTGCTAAGTTTTCTAAGCAGTGAATACAAATTCCAGCCTAAACACTGGGCTGACAATCTACATTGCCACGAAGTGTGATCACCAGCTCACTGGCCTGCCCGTGTCGCTGGCTAACCCGGGTTCTCCTTCTGCCTCTGCACAGGTGCCCCCTGGGGAATCCCACCGCCCCTCCCCCGCACTCAATTTCCCACTTTCTGTATCCTCCTTTTTGCAGTACTTCTTTGTTTTGCTGGTTGGCATCCTCCAGTAGCTTCTGGAGAAAGAGTACAGAAAGAGGAGCTTCAAAAGTCTTTGAAAATTGCACGCTGGAAAATTTCTGTGTTTTGGGCAGAGAATGCTGAGCGTTCAACATGAGAGCAAGCCAGCCCATCCCTGGCCATGTGCCTTCCGGGGGAAGATAAGCGAAATAATGCTGTGTGCTGGGGCAGGTCCTTCCCAGAGTATGGCCAAGAACCAAGGAGACCTTCAGCTCTGCTACAACGGTGTTCCGACTGATATATTAGGAACAACTGGAGCGTAGTATGAATTCTGCATTTGCTTCCATACCACCTTTCATCCTGAGATAAGAATGCAGAAAACTGCACTGCACCCAGCTGAATGGAGCCACTTAGAAATACTCGGCACATGGGCACACACTCTCCCCACCAGCACCACAGCCACACCCATCCACATCTGGTATCACCGTTTTCCACACAACTTCAGATCACCCTCCCTCCATCGCCTCACAAGAACCCAAAAGCTACAGCCCTTCCAAGACCCACCTCCCACAAGGAAGCTGTAGGTCTTTTTCAATGGAAAGTGCCATACTGGGGCGCCTGGGTGGCTCAGTCGTTAAGCGTCTGCCTTCGGCTCAGGTCATGATCCCGGGGTCCTGGGATGGAGCCCTGCATCGGGCTCCCTGCTCCGCGGGAAGCCTGCTTCTCCCTCTCCCACTCCCCCTGCTTATGTTCCCTCTCTCGCTGTCTCTCTGTCAAATAAATAAAATCTTAAAAAAAAAAAAAAGTGCCATACTTACTACAGTGTTTATGTTATCTTTTTTAAAGATTTATTTATTTGAGAGAGAGAGAGAAAACGAGCAGGGGGGAGGGGCAGAGGGAGAGGGAGAGGGAGAAGCAGACTCTCTGCTGAGCACGGAGCCCGATGTGAGGCTCGATCCCAGGACCCTGGGATCATGACCTAAGCCAAAGGCAGATGCTTAACGGACTGAGGCACCCAGGCGCCCCACTATTTTTTAAACCTGTAATAATATGTGTAGTGTTTTACCATTTCTATTATATTCCCATCTTTTTAAAATAAGTTACTGAAGAAGTCTGAGTGCTGTGCCCCCAACCCCAGTTTTCCCATAAACCCTATGCTTTTTATTGTATGATTTTGCATAGAGCATGAGGATTGTTAGGAAAGCATATGTCACATTACAGGAAGACAGACTATAAATGGGCTCACCCTAAAAAGAAATATAATGAATCTTATTTTAAAATTACAAGATAGGTACATAAATAATTACCCTTATCTCTTCTACTATCAGAAGCCAATTATACCCAATGATACTGTTTTACCAACAGAGCCAATTATTTCTAGAACAACTTTAAAATGAGTCGACATTTTGGGGGCGCCTGGGTGGCTCAGTTGGTTAAACTGCTGCCTTCAGCTCAGGTCATGATCCCAGGGTCCTGGGATCGAGCCCCACATCGGGCTCCCTGCTCATGCAGGAAGCCTGCTTCTCCCTCTGCCTGCCGCTCCCCCTGCTTGTGCTCTCTCCCTCTCTCTCTCTCGCTCTCTCTGTGTGTCAAATAAATAAATAAAATGAGTCGACATTTTGGGTACTATGCAGTAGTATGCCGAACTACCAGAAGTTTCTATCCAACTTCAACTAGAATTAGAACACAAAAATGAGGTTTTTCAAGGCGAACTGATCTGGAAATGAGTTTTGGTAACAGTGGGTCATATTTTTCTATGTTCTCTGTTATGGAAGGAGTACGATGCCACCCTCAGGATGAGACAGACAGAATTCTATATGCTCCCTCCTGTTTTGAGTTCTAAGGAGCTAAACGTAATTCCCTTGGGAACAACTGTGGAATAAAGTCAACCTGGAAATCGCAGTATTATACAGCAATCTACAACCAACAAGCTGAGAACGGTCCCCACAAAGAGGTCTATGTCCTAAGCCCCAGAACCTCTGAGTATGTTAGTTACATGACAAAGGGGAAAACAAGTGGGCAGACAGAATTCAGGTTATTGATCAGCTGACCTTAAAATGGAGAGACTTCCCTGGATTATTCAAGTTGGCCCGATGCAATCACAAGGGTCCTTAAAATGGGCGAGGAAGACAGAAAAGGGCAGAGAAAGAGATATGAGGTCTGAAGCAGGGTCAGGGAGGTGCTACATTGTTGGCTTTGAAGCTGGAAGAAGAGACCACGGACCGCAGGCAGCTTCTCCAAGCCAAGAAAAGCCAGGGAATGGCTTCTCCCCTAGGGCCTCCAGAAAGGAATGCACTAACCCTCGACAGACTTCTAACGGACCCAGCTGAGATGCAGCAGTACCACGGAGGACAGGGGCCTGCCAAGCTGGCACTATTCACTATCTGGCCTGTTACAGAGAAATTTGCCAGCCTCTGGTGTTATGACTGTTTATCCCCCAAGACCTGCTTCTTTGGCCTATTTTTCTTCAGGAACTTCAGTCCCCCTATGATTAGCAGCCCAGCAGAGGATGGAAAAGTCCTATCACCATGGCAACTTTTCTCCCCAAAGCTATTCCTGCTTCTACTCATAAAGATGATCACGACTGATCTTTCTTGTAGGGTCTTTTAAAAATTGTGGCCAGAAGGCAGCATCCTTTTGCTGTTCAGATGGAGAATCTCCACAGATCCCAAAATAAGGCAGATGAGTTTGTGTGACCCAACAATGAACAGGTGTGGTAATTAAAAGATGGCTGCAGACACTTTAAAACTTTTCCCATCAAGAACTGGAGTCTAGGGGCACCTGGGTGGCTCAGCTGGTTAAGCATCTGCCTTTAGCTCAGGTCACGATCCCAGGGTCCTGGGATGGAGTCCCGCATCAGGCTCCCTGCTCAGCGTGGAGCCTGCCTCTCCCTCTGCTCCTGCCCGCTTCTTGCACTCACTCTCTCTTCAAGTAAATACATAAAATCTCAAAAAAAAAAAAAAAGTAGTAGTAGTGGAGTCTAGGGGCACCCAGGTGACTCATCTGGCTAAGCAGGTTAAGCATCCAACTCTTGGTTTCAGCTCAGATCATGATCTCAGGGTCATGAGATCGAGCCCCACTGTCGAGCTCCACACACAGTAAGGAGTCTGCTTTAGATTTTCTCTCTCTCCTTCTGCCTCTGCCCTTCCCTTGCTTGCTGGGAAGCAAGCTTTCTAAAATAAATAAATTAAAAAAAAAAAAAAAGTGGAGTCTATGCTCCCCTTCCCTTGGATTTGGGAGGATTCTGCTTGACAATGGAAGTGACAATGCACCAACTTCTTCAGGGTCCAGACCTCACCAGACTGGCAACTTCCACTTCCTGTCTTCCATGCTATAAGGAAGCTCAAGCAGCCCCATGGAGAGGTACTGAGGTTCCTGACCATGCTGCCAGGCAAAAGCTAGCACCGACCTACCAGCCACGTGAGCAAGCCATCTAAGAAGCAGACCCTCCAGCCCCAGTTAACTCTCCCAGATGCCATCACACAGGGCACTGCCAAACCGTAGGTTTGTGAGTCAAACAATTGCTGTTTTAAGCTGTTAAATTCTGGGGTGATTTGTTACACGACAGAAAACCAAAACTTTGGGTCTCTCAGTACGGCTAACCACTCTGGGCAGGTTAACTGACCAGAATAAAATGTTACAACAGACTTTCAGACACCTTCATTGTGGGATTTCAGTGGTCCATAGTGAAGCTGGTGCAGACATCTCTGTGCGTATCTAAAATGATTCACAGGGGCGCCTGAGTGGCTCAGCTTATGATTTCAGGGTCCTGGGATGGAGTCCTGTGTCAGGCTCCACACTCAGAGGTGAGTCTGCTTGTCCCTCTCCCCGTCCCCCCACTCGTGCTCACTCATGCTCCCTCTCTCTCTCAAATGAATAAATAAAATCCTTAAAAGCCAACAAAATAAATCAGTAAACTGATTCAGAGATGGAAGGGAAAATCAGGAGGCCCTGTGTCTGATTAAGTGGTGTTTTAAAAGTGGGGAATGTGGGGGCGCCTGGGTGGCTCAGTTGGTTAAGCGACTGCCTTTGGCTCAGGTCATGATCCTGGAGTCCCGGGATCGAGTCCCGCATCGGGCT